GCGGCGGGATTTCTCAGGAGCTCTCGCGCCTTATGAGAAGTTTTTGTTCTGCCTTGGAGGGAGGCTTAGAACACTTCTCAGATAGATGGCCGGGGGGACTTCCGATCCTTCCGAAAAGGCCTTCTCCTGCTCACTTCCCCCGGGCTCGCCGCCGAGCCTCCTCCGCCCCCAGGTCCCCTGGTCGAGCGCGGCGGGCCGCAGCGGCCGGGCCGAGCGGCGTGCCGCGGGCTAGGTCTGGGGGGCGGGGAGGAGGATGAGGAGCAGGAGAGAGAGAGCGAGGGAGGAGCAGGAAAGAAGGAGGATGGAGGGAAGGGGGGAAGAAGAAGAAGAAGGGGTGACAGTGATGATGATGATGATGGCAACGGTCATGCGCTGGTAATAATGGTGATGGCGATGACGATGACGCTGGCCATGATGGTGGTGATGATGATGACGACGATGATGATGCTGATGATGGTGATGATGATGATGCTGGTGATCATGATGACGGTGATGCTGATGATGACGGTGCCGTTCACGATGACGGTGACGACGATGATGCTGATGATGACGTTGATCATGATGGTGATGGTGATAGTGGCGATGGTGATGATGATGATGATGATGATGGTGATGATGACGGAAGTGATGACGATGAGATGGTTGATGATGATGATGTTGATTTTGATGTTGTTGTTGATGATGCTGCTGATGATGATGCTGATGATGATGGTGATGATGCTGACGATGATGATGATGGTGATGATGATGATGATGATGATGATGATGATGATGACGATGACGATGATGATGGTGATGGTGATGATGATTCTGATGTCGGAGATGCTGGTGTTGACGATGTTGTTGGTGATTGAGAGGGTGATTATGTAGATGCTACTGACGATTGTGATGTTGATGATTATTGTAATGGTGATGGTGATGCTGGCGATGACGGTGGTGGTGATGATGGAGATGCTGATGATGATAAAGATCATGATTGCGATGAGCAGTGTTGAGAATGGGTATTGGGGTATGAGGATGTGAGGAGGAAGTGATGTTGATCTGGAGAGGTGGTATCGAAGACGCCTACGGCGAATCACCGCCGCCCCCTGCCTTTGTGGAAGCGCCTATGTGGCCGAACGTTGAGACCAGACCTGCCAAGCTATCGGACCATGTGTTCCCCGAATCGGTTTGGAAAGCCTTCGGGGAACACGTGGGCATCTTGAAGGTCATCTTGGCCGCCTAGAGGCCATTTTGACTATTTCGGGCCTTCTTGGAGGACGTCTTGGAGGGGGCTCGTAGGCCGTCTTGGAGGCCATCTCAAGCGTCTGGGAGGCCTCTTGGGCCGTCTTGGGGGCCTCTTGGGGCCGTCTTGGGCGCCTCTTGGGCCGTTCTGGGGCCATCTTGGAGGCCTCTTGGGCGATCCGTGGGCGATCTTTGGGAGCTCTTGGGCCGTATCGGGCCGTCGGAAGGCCGAAACGAAGCAAATGTCAAAATCCTTTCAAAACCATCGTAAAGTGGACGACTTTGGCCTCTTCGGGCCCTCCTGGAGAACCTCTTGGAGGCCTCTTGGGCCGTCTTGGGCCGTCTTAGAGGCTTCTTGGGCGAACTTGGAGGTATCTTGGACCCTCTTGGGCCGTCTCAGAGGCCGTCTTGGACCATCTTGGGTGGACTTGGAGGCCATCTTGGACCATCTTGGAGGCCATCTTGGGCCAACGTGACCATCTTGGAGGCCATGTTGGGCCGTCTTGGAGGAAGAATTGGGATTGGGCGATGGCGTGTGCGTCTTACGGGTCTTGGGGAGCGGCCGGCGGGACGGACCGAAGCGCCAGGGGGAGTTCTTTCGGATCTTTTGGAAAAAGAACCAAAACCAAAACCCATATCATCCGGCACGCCAGGCACCCCTGCGATGAATCGACAGGGGGCGGCGGATGACGGAAAGCGCGCGTTAGCGTGCGGTCCGTTAGTCGGAAGAAATTGGACTTGGGGGAGTTCGAGGGGGTTGGCATCGGGGGGGCCGAGATCTAATTGCCCTCCCGCCTCGTGTTTTATCGAGCAGGACGGCCTTCGGGGCTTAAAAACAGCGTTTCGCTCGAGGCATCATCGGAGAACGCTTCTTGGGCGCTTCTTGGGCCGTCTTAGGCGCCTAAGACCGCCCAAGAAGCGCCCAAGACGGCCCAAGACGGCCCAAGAAGCGCCCAAGTTGGCCCAATAGCGCTCCAAGAGAGCCCAAGACCGCCCAAGGCGGCCCCAAGACGTCCCAAGAGGCCTCCACGACGCCCCAGGAGACGCCAACGAGGCGTCCCAAGAGGACTCCAAGAGGCCAACATCATTGATTTTCTTAAGGAAAACGTGTATTTTTAGCATATACGGCTTTTCGCCTTTCATGGCGTTGAAGACGGTCCAAGAGGCCCCCAAGACCGCCCCAAGCCGGCCCAAGATGTTGCCAAGAGGCCCCCAAAATAGCCCAAGAGGGCGCCAAGACGGGCCAAGCGGCGCACCCAAGAGGGCCCCAAAACGGCCCAAGAGGGCGCCAAGACGGCCCAAGAGGCGCCAAGACGGCCCCAGACAGCCCCAGGACGGCCCCAAGAAGGCCCCAAGAGGCCCCCAAGAGAGCCCAAAGACGGCCAAAATTGCCCTCCCGCTTCGATTTCTATCGAGTAGGATTGCCTTCGGGGCTTAAAAACAGCGTTTCGCTCGAGACATCATCGGAGAACGCTTCTTGGGCGCTTCTTGGGCCGTCTTAGGCGCCTCAGACAGCCCAGGAAGCGGCCAAGACGGCGCCCAAGACGGCCCAAGACTGCCCAAGAAGCGCCCAAGACGGCCCAAGAGCGCTCCAAGAGAGCCCAAGACCGCCCAAGACGGCCCCAAGACGTCCCAAGAGGCCTCCACGACGGCCCAGGAGGCGCCCACGAGGCGTCCCAAGAGGGCCCCAAGAGGCCAAACTCATTGATTTTCTTAAGGAAAACGTGTATTTTTAGCATATACGGCTTTTCGCCTATGGCGTTGAAGACGGTCCAAGAGGCCCCCAAGACCGCCCCAAGATTGCCCAAGATGTTGCCAAGAGGCCCCCAAAATAGCCCAAGAGGGCGCCAAGACGGGCCAAGAGGCGTCCAAGACTGTCCAAGAGGCCCCCAAGAGCGCCCCAAGAAGGCCCAAGAGCCCCCCAAGAAGGCCCCAAAACGGCCCACGAGGGCGCCAAGACGGCCCAAGAGGCGCCAAGACGGCCCAAGACGGCCCCAGGACGGCCCCAAGAAGGCCCCAAGAGGCCCCCAAGAGAGCCCAAAAGACGGCCAAAGGCAGCCTGGTCCCTTCACTCCCGCAGCCCAGAAGCTCCCAGGAGGCCCCCAGAGGCCCCCGAAAAGCTCCAAAAGGTCACCAGGAGGCACCCAAGAGGCTCCCCAAGAGGCTCCCCAAGAGCCCCCCAAGAGGCCCAAAATACGCCCAAAGGCTCTTAGCACCACGGCTCCCAAGAGCGAGCGGTGACGTAATCGAGCTGATAAGACCAAAGCTCCCAACAGAGAGCTGCGGCGTAATAAGTTCTTGCAGCCAGGGCACAGGGACGGGCGGCAACGCGTGGACAACGAGCGGTCCACGCAAGGACAACGCGGGGTTCTGGAAAGATGGCAGCCCAAACGCGGAAAACGCAACGCGACCCGACCGCCCCCTCCAAAACAAGAAACGCGCTCAAAGAAAGCTCCGCGACTCTCCGAGGCTGAGGTAGGACAAGAGCGAGGGGAAGGGAGTCAATAAGAGGTGCAAGAGCGGACGAGCCAGCGATCCCGTGCGCTCTGAAAGTAAGTGCGCTTTCCGTCCCCGTGCCAAGCAGGTCTAGTGGCCTTCGGCCCATCCCGACACCGTGCCTGGGTTATGGTTATGGAGCCCGTTGGATGTTCGTTAGGATCTCGTGGGAGACCTTTCGGTGGCCTCTTGGAGGCAGTTTTTAGTTCTCTTTCGATCCGTTTTGGGGCGTCCTGGGGCCTCTTTGGGGCCTCTTGGTGGCCTATTGGGGACCTCTTGGGGGCCTCTTGGGCGCCTCCTGGAGCCTCCTGGAAGCCTCTTGTGGCAAACGTCTCGGATTTGTGGTTCGTGTTCCTTCTCTTGGGCCCCTTGTGGGGCGTCTGAGGGCCCTCATGTGCCGTCTTGAGCGCCTATGTGTGTCGTCTTGGGGCGCTCTTACGTCTTGGGGCCCTCTTGGAGGCCTTTTGTGCCGTCTTGGGGTGGGGGCCTCTCGGGCTGTGTGGGAGCGTCGGAAAGCAAAAAAAGGCGAGAACGCAATTATCCTTCAAACACCTACGGACCACCTATGATCTTCGCCTCTTGGCGCCCTCTTGGGAGGCCTCTTGGAGGCCTCTTGGGGCGTCTTGGAGGCCTCTTGGGCCAGCTTGAGGCCATCTTGGGCGTCTTGGAACGACCTTTCGGCGATACGGGGCCCTCTTGGACCGTCGTGGGGGCCTCTTGGGGCCCTCGTGGCCCGTCCTGAGGCCCCCTGGGCTCCGAGAGAAGTCGTGCGAGAAGATGCGGGGCAAGCCCCAGGGGGCACGCGAGAAGCCCGGGGAGGTTTGAGAGCCAGGGGTCCGGGGTCCGGGTCCTTAAATCATCCTCAGGAGTGAGCAGCGATTGCTACTAATCCCTTAACAATCGACCCCCCCTAGAAAACCGGACCCCCCTCCAAAGGCGACCTGAGATGCCGGACCCCCCTCTGCGACGAGGCACCTTAGTAAACCGGACCCCCTAAGCTCCAATCCAAAGAAAGCGCCCTAACAAACCAGACCCCCCCCCAGTTACAACAAAGGCGCCCTAAAAAGCCGGACCCGGGGGACGATTAATAAGGGATTTGGGGCAGATGAAGGGTTTTGAGGACACGCCTACTCTGTGCCCAAGGGCACGGTGGCGGATGAGGCCATGAGGAGGAGAATGAGGAGGAGGAGGAGGAGGAGGAGGAGGAGAAGGAGAAGGAGGAGCTGGTCGTTGAGAATGGGGGGCGTAATGATGAGGAGACGAGTATTGCGACGGGGCAGGGCATTGTTCGACGTGGACACATATGATAACGATTCATATTGGCTTGATTTGAAGGACCAGAAGAGGCGTGATAACCGCAAGGGTAAGCGGAATGGGATGAGGCGCCATCCGCTAAAGACGGCGTCCCGAAGAGGACGCGAAGGTGGATGACGAGGTGGAACCGGAAGCGAGGAGGACGAGAAGGAGAGAGAGACGAAGAGGGATGGAGACAACGACATCGATGTTGACGCGTTACGACGACGACGACGAACCACAACGACGACGACGACGACGGACGGAACGACGACGACGACGACGACGACGACGACGGCGACGACGACGACGACGACGACGACGACGACGACGACGACGACGACGACGACGACGACGACGACTACCACGTACCACGTACCACGTACCACGTACCACGTACCACGTACCACGACCGCGGCGTCGGCAGAAGGCGCGCAGGGGTAGGCGGTGCCCCGCCGACCCCCCCTTGTCGGGTGGCGCTGCATGCGCGCGCTGGCGCCAGCCCTTCAGGTTCCGCCGATACTTGGCATCGCTCGGACGTGTGCATTTTTCCTTCGGCGAGGACGATCGAGGAGCATCCTTGATCATTTGGCGACAAAAAACCACGCACGAAACCGAAAAAAACACAGGGAATGGACGTCCGAGCGATGGACAGGATGGGGGCCACCGCTGCAGTGGGCACACCACGGGAGAAACTGGCCTGCCAGCGTGCGCCTTGCGGTAACGTCTGACCTCCCGATTGGCCCGCAGAGGTCTGGGACACCCTGCGGAGCCCAGGGCCGACGAAGCTCAGAGCCCTCTTGTAGCACGATGGCTATCCGATGTGCCTTCTGTAGAGGTGTGTCACCACAACCTCCCAGATATCAAAGAGCGGCGAGCCCGAGGGGGAAGTAAGAAGGAGAAGACCTTCTCAGAAGGTCCGGAAGTTTCCTGAACCTTCCCCGAAGACAGAAAAAAGGCGCGAGGGCCTTCCGAGAAGTCCCGCCGCCTTCTGAAAAGGCCTCTTTCCCCCCTTCGCTCGCCGCCGAATCAGGGATCGAGGAGGAGGGAGGCTTGAGGATCCGCACAGGAGGCTTTGGACGTGTTCTGGGGGCGTCTGTGGGAGTCCTGCGGTGCTCTGGGGGTGTCAGGGGGGTCCGTTTCCCGGAGGAGGTGGGGCCCCCCCCTCTCCCGCGGTGACCCCCCCACCTTGCACTGCCCGGACCCTGGCCGGGCTCGACCAGGGCGGTCCAGAACCGTTGGGCGTCGGGCGTCGATGTCTTCTTATCGGCGGCGAGCGAGGGGGGTAAAGGAGAAGGAGAAGAAGGCCTTCTCAGAAGGCGGCGGGACTTCTCGGAAGGCCCTCGCGCCTTCTAAGAAGTTTTTATTCTGCCTTCGGGGAAACGGCTCAGGAATCTCCTGAGAAGCACGGGGGACCTCCGAAGCTTCTGAGAAGGCCTTCTCCTTCTCGCTTCCCCCCTGGGCTCGCCGCCTGCGCGTTCTGTTTCACAACGCTGACCCCCCAGGAGTGCTCGCCGCCGGTCGTAGGCGTTCTTGGGCCGCGCCTCGAGCCGCTGGGAGGGTGCTACAAGCAGAGGCCTCCCGACCTCCTCGGGCAGGCTCGCGCCTCCCTCGGCGGTCATCGCGCCGGAGGTGCGCGCAGAGAGTTGCACGTGTGCGCGATGCCGCAGGTGTATGACGGGCATGTCCTTCTACAGGAGGAATGCCAAAAGCAGTTTTAAGATTGTCTGGGGACGATTTCTTAACTATTTCTAACCATGTTGGAGTATGGCTTGACTATTTATCATTTCTTCCAAAATCCGCCTGTAGGAGGACGTGCCCGACCTGACCGTAGGTATGGTGATTTGGCCATGCGCTTTCCGCCCACGGAATCAGAGGAGGAAGAACTACCGATACCGATGCAGCTGCTCGTCCTGGATGGCCCTCGTCGTCACGGCGCTTTACTCTCCGCGATCGTTTGGTCAGGACGCTCACCGGGAGGGGCCCGGAGAGTCACAATATTGGCAACTCTCTCTGTCAAGAACGCTCTGGCTGCTTTCCAAATTGGCCGGGCTTGGGCGAATACGCCAGCCTACGGCGACAACCCCAGGCCCAGGACTCGTCGTGGAATGCGCTCTTGCCAGGATTTGCGGGCGAATGCTGGTCGTGGCGACGACGGCGCCCCCCCACACAGGCTTGAATGATGTACACTGCAACTTCATAACAGTGCACATCTGTGAAAATACTTCCTTTCTTCCTCCTCGCTCTCTCCTCCTCCCTGCAAGTCTTCTCTCCTCTGCCACCTCCTCTTCCTCCTATACCTCCGCCCTCCCTCAATTTCTCCCTCTGGCTCCTCACCTCCTCTACCTCCGAGGCACCAAAAAGGGCCCCGAGGCCTCGAGCCCCGATGCTCGACACCATCCCAGAGCCCCGACATGGCAAGGTCTGGGCAGTGTGGGCCCCCCAGAGGTGTGGACCCCTTCACGGAACCATGCTTAGTCCTGAGTCGTGTCTGAATGGCCCGCAGTCCCCGTGCGACCCAAAGTATGTAGAACATTTGGAAAATCAGCTGTCGTGCTTTTGTTCACCAGGCGGTTGGGCCTGGGACGACGACGATGATGACGCCGACGACGACGCCGCCGACGACGACGACGACGTTGACGACGGCGACGACGACGACGACGATGACACTGAGCGATGGTGGAAGAGGCCAGATGACGGCCCCAGACGACGACGCGGACGACAACGACGACCACGACGACGGGGACGACAGACAGCGGTAACCCTGGATGACGACGCGCGACGACGACGGCCGCTACGCCAACGGACGACGGCAACGACGACGGGCGACGGCGACGCTGACGACGACGGCGACGACGACCGCCTCCCTCAAGAATTGACCCACAGACCCGTCCCCGGGCACACGTTGGCCAGAATGTCGAGACGGACCCACCCGTGGCCACGAGAAGGCCCGGAGGAGGCCACACACAGTTCCAGACCTGGAATCCCCGATCCACGACGATGCTCAAGTCGGGCCTGTCCTCTCCAGGAGGAGTATTCAAGCATAAGAAAATAGTCAGGGGGTGTTTTGAGTACTGTTGTGCGTTATCTGAATCTTGTTATCTAAGCTTGACTTTTCGTCCAAAATCCGCCCGTAGAACGGCACGCCCGACCTCTGGCAGCGCCGACGACGGACGAATGAACGCGACGATGAGGCCGAAGGCGACAGCGCCGAGCGACGCTCACAGCGGCAGCTTGTCGCTGACGACGACGGCGACACTGGACGACGACGACGCTGGCGGCGGACGGCTCCTGACGGCGCCGACCGACGACGAGGGCAACGACGACGCTGGGCCGAAGGCCTCGCCTGCCTCTCGCCCTCGTCGCCGTCGGCCCGCGTCGTCGTCGTCGTCCTCGTCGTCCTCGTCGTTCTCGTCGTTCTCGTTGTCGTCGGCCTGTGTTATCGTCACCATCGGCATCGTCGTCGTCTCGTCGTCGGTTGTCGGTTGTGGGTTGTCGTCGTTGTCGTCGTCGTCGGCGTCGGCGTCGGCGTCGTCGTCGGCCGCGGTCGCCGGCCGCCCGCCCGCCGAAGAGGCCTCGCGCTGGCCGGTGCCGTGGCCCTCGCGGCCGTGCCCTGCCTCGTCGCGCGCTCGCGGGCGCCCGCCGGGGCCCACGGCGAGCCGGCGCGCGTGCGGCGCTCGGAGCCGTCTTCCCCAGACCCCCTCGCGTTGTGAAAAAGTCACGATCGCGGGGGGCGGGGATTTCGCTGTTTTCGGCCTCCAGAGGGGCCCTCGCCGGGCCTCGGGGCCGTAAAAAAACGACTCGGGATGAAGAACCGGCCCCAGGGAATGGGTCCGGACCTCTGGGGGTCGCGCCGCGTGTTTGGGCGTCCCGGGAGGCCCTGGTCGCTACGGCTGGCTTCGCCTCGAAATACTGGTCAGAACGCACCTTGAGAAGATGTCTGGGGAGCAGCAGTATCCGCATCTTCTGGTTCCTCCAGTTGGCGGGCGAGTTCGTCGGTTTTGGAAGCTCCTCCAGCCTCGGGGTGTGTTCCATCAGCTGCGCTTCGCCACGGGCATTCTGGGGGGCCCCCGAATGGCCACAGCAAGTCTGAGTTATGGCCCGAAGGCCACAGACCTTCCGAGACCTCCAACGTGTTGACCAAACAATGCGGAGGTTGTTCTGCGTCCTCGGCCTCTGGGGGCCATCGCTGGGCGTCCAGGGACTGCCACTTTCAATTCGTCGTGCTTCCATCTTCGTGCTGGACCTTCTCTTCAGGGACGAGACGAGCCAGAGTTGTCCAACGGAATCTGAAATGTGCTCATCCGGATTCGAGGTTCGAGCGTTACTGTCATTCGCTCGGCGTAGCGGTCGATGCGACTCGTGGCGATTGGACCCGCGGGTCGGCCCTGGGCACCCGAGCGGAGCACAGGCGGGCTTGTGTGTCTTCAGCTCAGGCGGGGGGGCCCTCTGGTGAGACGCGGGCGGTGGCGGGATGATACGGAGGAGGGGGCCCCCCCCTGGCGCTCCGGACCGTCTCCCTCGTCTGCGTCTGCACCTTTGGCAGGGGGAGCTGCTCAGAGTAGCCTCCGAACTTCACCGCCATGGCGGAACGTAAACGGGCCGTCACCGCTGGCCAGTGTGCGATCGTCCCGTGCCGTCGGCGTGCCTCCCCCGCACCAGCTCAACCCGAGGCCCAGCCCCCGCCCGCGAGACTTTTGACGTATTTTGCCCCGTCGATGTTAAGGCCGTCTCTGGACTCGGAGGCGGTGCACTTTGCGATTTGATTGGCCCTTCTCTTGATCTTCTTTCGCAGGTCCCGGTGGTGTTGCGAGTAGGCGTCGTTGCAGTTTGACCCACTTGGGCGTTGGATATCGTGACCGCCGCTGCGCGCATGCTCGTCCAGGGTCACGCGACTGAGGATCGACGTGGGTGTCCTTGGCTTAAAAGCATACGGCATCATTATCATGTGATCTCCTCTCGGAGACGAACATCTAATAAGCATGAATCGCTTGTTCTGTGTGATAGATACGTTCAAACAGATATCCGTTCTTTCTTAGAAAAGCCAGTCTTCAACTCGACGCCGCCGTGGGATCTGGGGACCTCGTCGCCGCAGCAGGGCGCACAGCCACAATGCCAGTGGGCTCAACCCGGGAGGGGGCAAAGACGTAATCGGTGAGCGATTTGCGCGAAGATCATTGAAAGCTACACGCGCGTTCGCAGCCAGGAGTGACTGCGCGGTGTGCGCCGGGCCATTGCAGGCGTGCTCCACGCGAGGGTGCGGACCGAGACATATTCGGGGCTTGCGATTTCATTTGTCCCCCTCGCGTTCCCACCTTCTTCCGTTGGCCCCCATTTTGCGCCCTGGCTGTCTAAGAGCATCCAGTGTCACCAATGCTGACCAGTGTGAAAGCATGTCCCCAGATACTGATTGGTTGAGCTTCGACTGAGCCCCCATTCGCATCAGCAGACCCAGACGAGGGCAAGATGAGGTTGCCGACGTAGGGTGCCCTCAGAACACGGCGGATGTGTTCGCTGGATTGCATCAGTTCTACGGTCCATGGGGTTTGGAGGGATGGAGACGGAGATAGCAGGTTCTTGGTCTCTCCAGGTTTCGTTTCTCACTCAAGGGAGGCGGCGACGTTCTGACCACGATCTCCGCATGTTCCGTCCCGATTCCGAGGAGTTCGAAGTAGGGGCCATTCCAGCCCCCAGTCAGGTTTCGTGGCATGTCGATCCTGACCCTGATTGTGAAGCGTGTGCAAAGCAAGAGCGCCTTGCCATGCAGAATCAGCGCGCAGTGGTCTCTTGAGGTTGTTCGTTTGCAGGCTCTGGGGGTAACACGTGTTACCCCCCCCTCCCCTCCACCCCGGAACAGTAACGCCTGGGAGCCGACCACAGGCGTGAATCCTGACAGGTTCTATCGGACTAGGTATCCCCATGGGGAGGAGGAGGAGGAGGTGGAGGAGGAGGAGGAGGAGGAGGAGGAGAGGAGGAGAAGGAGGAGGACCAGGAGGAGGAGTAGGAGGAGGGGGAGGAGGAAGAGGAGGAGGAGGAGGGGGAAGAGAAGGAGGAGGAGGAGGAGGAGGAGGAGGAAGAGGAGGAGGACAAGAACGACGACCGACGTGGCCTGGAGGCTCCCGAAGGTGCACAGGCATTGTCGTCGTCGTCGGCGTCGTCATCGTCGTCGTCGGCGTCGTCATTGTCGTCGTTGTCGTCGTCGTAATCGTCGTCGTAATCGTCGTCGCCGTTGTCGCCCTTGTAGTCGCCCTTCGCATGTCATCTCGCCTCCTTCATGAGATTGCAAGGTGTTTTGCACAAGTGCTATGGCCTCGGCAGGCGTTGTGCAACGGTGTACACAAGCGCTCTGGTGCACGCTGGCACTGAAGTGTACGGTCACGGTGTGGTGCACACGGTTGGTGTGATGTGCGCAGGCGCCGTAGTGTACCAACAATTTTCCAGTGCACACAAGTTTTGTGGTGTGCAATGGCTCAGTTGCCCACGCCGGTGCTGAGGTTTACGGAGGCGCCGTGGTGCACACAGGCGATGTGGCGCCATGGTGCGCGCAGGTGCTAGGGTGAACAGCGGCATCGTGTGCTCGCTGGCCCCGCCAGGGACGGCGCCCGGGCGGGTGCTGTTACTACGGTTCAGTTGGGCGTGTCCCTCTACAGTAGTCAAAAATAGTCGAAACATTGTTTGGGGACGTTTCTTGATTATTTTTCATATGTTCTGCATTCTTTGACTATCTTTCATTTTTCGTCCATAATCCGCCTGTGGCGGGACACGCCTGACCTAATGCTACCGTCCAGGCATCCCAGGTGGGGCCCGAGCAGACGGGGTCGGAGACCGCGCCGCATCGCCGATGCGTCGGGGATGCGGCTCCATGTGGAGCCCGATTCTCTCAACGCCGACGGCGCCGACGCATCGGCGATGCATCGGCGACGCATTGGCGATGCGACGCGACCCCTCCGACCCCACTGACTCGGACCCTGTGGCCCTCTCTCTCTCTCTCTATGTATGTATATATGTGTGATGTGTGTATATATCTATATACATATACATGTACACTGCCGCTGCCGCCACCTTCGTGCGCGGCGCGGCTCGCGCGTGCCACCGCGCAGCCACCCGCCGCGCGCCCCGCGCCCCCGAGCGCGCGCTCGCCGCGGCCCTCCGCATGCCTCCCCCGACGCTCCTGCCGCCCCTCGTTGGGGTGCTTGCGCTCCCGGGAGGCTCTCGATGCTGCAGCACCGGCGCGGGCGCCCCGCCGTGGCCTCTGGAGCTGGGCCCACGTGCGGCTGAGTCCCGCGGTTCAGTCCGCTCGATCCCGCGAAAGTCAGGAGGGGAAGGAGCACACAGACACACTGTGAATCGTCGATTCCCAGGAAAATATGGGAAAATATGGGAAGTGGGGGGGGGAAGACAAAAACATAGAAAAGATGAGAAAATATAGGGGAATCTCGTTATTTGTGTGATTTATTTGTGTGTGTCCTTGGGCCCCTTGAGGCAGCCAGCGCCGTCGGGCTCTTGAAGTCCGAGGCCCAGCTTGGGCGAGTCCGGCCGAGCAGCGCTGAATTCGGCCTCGCAGTCGGCCCTCTCAGCTGTTCCTGCGAGGGCCTCCCCGAGCTCGCCTCCTGACTGCCCCCTCCTCCCTCCCTGCCTCCCCCTCTCTCTTCCCTCCCGTCCTCCCCCTCCCCCCTCTCTCTCTCCCGTCCCTCCCTCCCTCCTTCGAGCCTCCCTCCTTCGAGCCTCCCTCCCTCCCTCCCTCTCCCTCTCCCTCTCCCCTCCATCCCTCCCCTCCCCCGCCCCCACGGGCCCTCGACGCCGAGGCCGCGCCCGTACGCGCGCTCTTCGTCTCCGTCGCCGAGGCCCCGTGGCCGCCGCGAGACCTCGCCGCCGCCGGCCGCGGTGCCACCACGACGACGACGGCGATTTCGCTGTCGTCATCGCCTCCGCCGCCGCCGCCTCCGCTGCCGCCTCCCTTGCCGCCGCCGCCGCCGCCGCCGCCGCCGTCGTCGTCGTCGTCGTCGTCGTCGTCGTCGTCGTCGTCGTCGTCGTCGTCGTCGTCGTCGTCGTCTACGTGGACGTCATCGCCTCTGCCGCCGCCGCCGTCGTCGTCGCCGCCGTCGTCGCCGTCGTTGTCGTCGTCGCCGTCGTCGCCGTCGTCGTTGTCGCCGTCGTCGCCGTCGTCGTCGTCGTCGTCGTCGTCTTCGTCGTCGTCGTCGCCGACGTTGACGTCGACGTCGACGACCTGTTATGCGTGTTGAGCCTCCTGGGGTCGTCTTTGGGTCCGCGGGGCCGACATTGCAGGCCCCCGCGGGAGCAGGTCGGGACCTCCTCCTTCTTCAGGGGCCGTCGAGCTGCAGGCCCCGGCGAGGTGTCGCAAAGGTCCCCCCGCATCCCTTGCCTCTCTTGTCGACACGCTGGCCATTGAAGGTCAGAGTGAGGGGGCCGAACGGTCATTCCCTGCCCCTGGGTGCGTGGCTGAAGTTGGGATCCACGGCGAGGATTCTGCTTGTTGTTGCGTCGTCCCCCCCGCGACCCGCCCGCGACACACCCGCGACCCACCCCGCGACCCACCCGCGACCCACCCGCGACCCACCGTGCGACCGACCCGCGATCCACCCGCGACCCATCCGCGACCCACCCGCGACCCACCCGCGACCCACCCGCGACCCACCCCGCGACCCACCCAGCCGTCCACCGGCGACCCACCCGCGACCCATCCGCGACCCACCCGCGACCCACTCGCGACCCCACCCGCGACCCACCCGCAACCCACCGCGCGACCCATCCGCGACCTTCCCGCGACCCACCCGCGACCCACTCGCGACCCACCCGCGACCCACCCCGCGACCCACTCGCATTGCTTTAGCGAGACCCGGCGCCTGCGGCGGACTCGTTGTATATTTTGTAATTAATTACCCCAGTGCGACCCTACCTAGAAGTTGGAGCCCCTAGGAAAGCAGCATTAGTTGCTATGCTATGCTATGCTATGCCATGCTGCGCTATGCTATGCGTTGCTTTGCCTTTGCTTTGCTTCGCTATGCTCTGCTATGTTATGCTATGCTGCGCTGTGCTGTGCTGTGCTGTGCTGCGCTATGCTATGTCATGAAATGCTGCGCTATGCTATGTTGGGCTGTGCTATGATATGCTGTGCTGCGCTATGCTATGCTACGCTATGCTATGCTCTGCTGTGCTCTGCTATGCTAAAGCTCAGCGAAGCTATGATGAAGGCAAGCTAAGCTAAGGTAAACCTGAGCTAATATGAAGCTAAGCTAAGCTAAGATGAAATAAACTAAGCTAAGATGAGATAAGCAACGCTAAGCTAAGGGGACGTAACTGGGGGAACCGCGGGGCGGATGCCGGGGGAACCGCCCGGGGCGGGTTCCACTGCCCGGCCCCTTTAAGCTAGACGGTAAGTACCCTTCTAGGCAGAGCCTAGGTAGGGAACGAGACCCGGCGCCTGCGGCGGGCTCGTTGTATATTTTGTAAAAATTCAGCGCTTACAACGGGCTTCTTCAGAGCCTCGCAGACTGCAGACGTCCCCGCCGCCCCCTCACTCTTGTCCGCGACTGCGGGGTGCTACGTATGATTCCGTGGGAACAAGAGTCCCCAAACATCATCCAGTCCGTCCAACAATATAGGATAATCTCCGCCGCGACGACGACGACGACGACGACGACGACGACGACGACGACGACGACGACGACGACGACGACGACGACGACGACTACGATAACGACCGCGAGGAGAAGCAGGAGGAGGAGGAGGAGGAGGAGGAGGAGGAGGAGCAGGAGCAGGAGCAGGATGGGGGGAGGAGAAGGAAGAGGAGGAGCAGGAGGGCCGAGTTCCATTCACCGCCGAGAGAAACATGGGAGGCCGACCCAAACTAGAGACCCCCTGGGGGTCAGTTTATGCTCGCTCGTTCTCGAACCGTCGCCGCTCACCGTCCGAGATCGAAGCCTGGGACCCCTCCCCCAGGGATTCTTCCCGACACTCGGCTGCAGCTGTCCCAGGTCGATGTTCTGCAGCCCCGCGGCCCAGAGGTGGGAACTCCAGAGGCAGAGGACGTCGAGTGGCCCGACTGCTTCGAGCCCCCAGACTTGCCATGACTTGATCTTCCCAACTCGCGGCCCGGGCGAGCTGGACTGAACCGCCGCCATGAAGGAGGAGGAGAAGACGGAGGGCGAAGGGACAGGATGAGCAGGGGGAGCAGGAGGAGGACGACGGATGGCGAAGGAGCAGGAGAGGGAGAGGAGGAGCAGGAGGCGGCGAAGGAGGTCGCTCTTCTCCCTCCCGGGGACGAGGGGGATCGAGGCTTTGTATCTGGCATGTCCCCTTGGAGCTTCTGGAGAGGCCTCCAGAGGGAGATCTCCCCACTCCTTGCGCCTGGGGCCGGCTCTGCACCCGGAGAGTCGCTGCTCCGTGGCGGTCTCCCAGAAACGGCCCGGCGGGGCCGCCCCGAGGCCGAGGGCCTGAACAGGAACCGCCTTGCCTTTTGCTCGACGCGCTGGAGCGAGGGGCAACGAGGGGGGAAGTCGGTAGGCATGAGTACAGTAGGAGCTCGACCACAAGACACCTGCCACAAGAGACCACGCCCCGAGACCCCAGGATCCCCGTGGCTTTTGATGGTGTGGGAGCGTCACGCTTTCCAGAGCGGAGCCGTCGAACCCGAAGAAACCCAAGAAACCCAGGGCACCTTGGAGGCAAGCAGGGCGTTTTTTTGGCACGGGTTTCCATTGGAGAGAGGGGGGCGCATCGACCTGGAATCGGCGATACGTCGCCGACAGATCGGCGGTGGGCCCCCGATCATGCATCCACACCTTCCTGGGCGGGGTGGGGCTACCGGGCCCCCCTCGGCGATCCATGGGCGATTGGAGGACGATGCATCCCCCCCTATCGTTGCCCCTGGCCCTCCTCCGCCTGCCGCCCCGCCTGCCCCCATGCGGGGAGGGGCGCCCTCTCGGGGCATCGGTGCCCCTCCTCCGGCGCCGCCAGGGGGCCCCAGCGCCGATCCGAGGAGTCTGTGCGGACCTCCGAGTTTGTATCTTCGTTCCCCTAGCGCAGGACGTGGAGCTGCAGGCGGAGCTCGCCGAGGGCCTGTCCCAAGCTGAGAGCAGCAGCCCGGGGCCCGCCGCGCAGACCCTGGAGCCTGCTGGGCTCGCCGGGCGCTGCCGCCTCGCTGCAGGAGCAGCAGCCTCGATCTCGCCAGGGAGGCCGCTGAGCTGCGGGCGAAGCTCGCCATGCGCTGACTCCCCACTTCGAGAGGGCTGCCCGGTGCTCGCCATGCAAGCCGTGGAGCTGGGAGGCTGAGCTCGCCGAGCGTTGCCGCCCTGCTAGGAGAGGAGCGGCCTTGAGCTCGCCGTGCAGACCGTGGAGCTGCAGGCCAATTTCGCCAGTCGCTGCAGCCCTGCTGCAAGGAGCGCGGCCTAGGCGGCCTAGAGCTCACCACGCGGGCGTGGGGCCGCCAGCGGAGCTCACCGAGTGGCGCCACCCTGCCTAGAGGAGCGGCCCTGGCAGTGGAGTCGCCCGTGGACCTCGCCGAGCATGTCCGCGAGCTCGCCACGCACTCCGTGGAGGTGCAAGCGGAGCTCGTCGCGCGGGCCGTGGAGCTGCAGGCCGAGCTCGCCGAGCGCTGCGGCCTGGAGCACGCGCGCCGCCCGCGGGTCGGCTGGCTCGGTGTGCCCAGCGCTGCCGTTCTGCGGGTGGCCCTGAGCTCGCCGCTCGGCATGCGGAGCGCCCGCGCGGTCCGCTGAAAGCTGCCGCGCTGCTCCGAGAGGGCGGCCCGAGGTTCGCGATGTGGGCCATGGATCTGCTGACCGAACCCCTTCTGCGCCCACGCCCTGATGCGAGGCGAAAGTCCTTGAGCTCGCCATGTAGGCCGTGGGAGCTGGCGGCGAGGCTCGCCAAGGCCTCGCGCGCTGCCGCGAGCTCAGCAGCTCGGTATCCACCGAGCCAGCCAGAATGCCGCCAGCTGGGCTCGGCAGGTGCCGCTGCTCCGCCGCGGGCGACGAGGAGCTCGCCGCGAGGCCCCTGCAGCTGCCGGCCGAGGTCGTCGAGCGCCGCCGCCCTGCGTCGAGAGGAGCAGCCCACAGCTCACCCTGCAGGCCGTGGAGGTGCAGGCGAGGCTCGCCGAGCGCCGAGGCCAGGAGCTCGTATACGCCGCCCCGTGAGGCGGCCGCTCTCCAGCGCTGCGCGGCCCGTGCCGCTCGCCGAGCGCTGGGCCGGGAGCTCGTGCGCGTCGGGCGCTGCCGCGCTGCCGGTGGCCGGGAGCTCGCCGCGCGGCTCGTGGAGCGAACGCGTGGCTCAAGCAGTGGCGAAGCGTCCCAGCTCGCCTACAGCCCCACCAAACAATGTTCTAAGAACCTTTTGCGGTTTCCAGGACATGTTCTTGGAACATTGCTGGCGGGGTCTGTCTTGGTTTAACACATCGGGCTTCTGTTCTAAGAACATTGTTTTCGTTATTGGAATATTTTTAGGTTCTAAGAACATTTCGCGGTTATAGGAATGCCAGGACGGTCGGTCCCTGCTCAATGTGCTGGAGTCGCGCGGCCCATCCCTGGTGCTGCGCCAGTCACCGCGCGGCCCCGCCCTGAGTGCCGCACTGGGGACCAGGACTCGACCTGCTGCAGTGCCCCAGTCGCGTCGTGTAAGTTTCTGAGGCGCGCGGGCCCATCGGTCGTCCTGAAAGTTCCGCACTCGGTTCCGTGCAGTCCGTTCGGTCGGACCAGAAGCTGCGGGTTTCTGATGGCCTTCTGTTGCCTTGGAAATTCGGCGACGTTCGCACGACATCGGGCCCGGTGCAGCAGTGACGCCCGTTCTGGGCCAGCTAGGAGCCAGGGCCGACTGTCGTCGGCTCACCAGGCACAGCACTGCACTGGGCCGCCTGCCATGGCCGA